CTTTTTAAAAAGCCTTGGTCAGAGGTCAATGTGTATGTAGATCTAATGTTCAGGTCACTTCCAGTTAGCTCATTTATTTATTTACTTCATAAACTATATGCACCACAGTTTACAAAAAGCAAAGTTTACAAAAAGAAAAAAAAATCAAGAAAATATATAATACAATAACAAAGTGCTTTTAGTACACTGATTTGAGGGTGTGTTTTTTCTTACAATCAAGCTGCTTGCATCAAAATTCATTCAAGTTCTAGCCTATATCGCTGCTTCAATATTTCTGTTGGTGTGGCATCTATAAAACATATCAGAGTCTTAGGTTGTTGCCAGACCCAGGTTTCAGTAAACACCCACAGACCAAAACATGCCCTTTAGCACATTGTTTCTGAATCTCAAATCCCTTTTGTGCTCTGACCCTTTCCCCAGATGCTGAAAAAGCAATTTGTGCACAAGGTCCCAAATGGGAGTATTCTGAAGAGCACAGAGTAATTTCCTGCACCAGAAATTGAACTCTCACCTTCTAAATAAGAACTGGCTATTGTGCCTCCAGGATGAAGTGCCTGCGGCAATGGGAGACAAAGAGAGAAAGTGCAGGAGGTGGGAGGCTTTAGGCATGCACCCCTTTCGTTGTAAAAAGTGGACACCCGGGGAGCAAACACGGATCCTGCCGTCATATCTGGTCAAGATGTGTGCAGGCCCTTTCAGAGGTCCAGAAAAACCCAGGCCACTTCCAGCTTTTGAGGTCCTTCAGCCATAATTAAAAATTTAAAAAATCACCTCACATGGAAACAAAATAAGTCACCAAAGACACAAAAACGCAACATTTTCTTTACCTTTTAAGACATATACTTGACCCAGCAGCAGCCACTAATACTGGCTCATTTCAGTTGAGCTGAAAGAAGACGTTCATCGTGGTCTAATATTATGCCATCATTTTAAATTCATATTTATGAATATTTTAAACTCTTTAATAGGACAAACTCTATTTTAATTAACCAAAAGATATTTTACCTCTTATTTGATTACATTTGCAGTACTAAGCTGAGAAAGTGAGTCATATTCTGTTGTGATGCACATATAAGCAAGCTGCAAAACTTACCAATTGCTAAAATCTGAGGCCCCGGCCAAGTATATACCTCCCTTGGTCCTGTGTCACACACAGGGCATTTTCCAACGGGGTGTGGAAGACTCAAATTTTTGAACCATCTCTTAGGCGTAGACTACACACAGGGAACAAAAGATCTGCCATTGCTCAGCACATCAGCCCCAGTTGCTGCTCTTGACTCCTCCCTTTCACAGTGAAAACACCTGCGACCCTGTTAGAAAGAGAGGGTATCTTTTACCAGAATAATGTCATATGCTGGAAGGAATAGCAGTATCCAGTTTTGTTGTAAACCATTATTTTACATAAGCCACCTTGGAGATCCTTCTGAAATCAGTAAGCACTGGTTCTGATATCCAACCTGTGTTTTGGGTTTTAAACTGAATCCCCAAACTAGAATAATGAAGATGAGGCCCAGAACAAATAGCCAACCTTCTAGTCCTGCCGTGTGTCTTCCTTGATACTGAGATAATTTTTCTTGTAGAAAACTAAAGGACTGAGTTCACATATTTTTCATTCTTTGAGTAATAGACTGGATCCTCTTTTTAAAATAAAAGAAAAACCTAAAACAGCCTACATGACATTTGTCCACATATGGTAGCAAGTTTTGGGATCAAAGTGCTTGACTCCAAGCCAAGTCGTTGACCTATCAAATCAACCTTGGCTATTCTGTTCAAAATCCCATGAGCTCTCCCTTTCCTTAAATAACATTATATATTGTTGAAAGTAAATGCCTCTGGGAAAGCATGTTGAGAAGCTGATGTACCATCCAGAATTCTAGTGTAACACAATGATATGAACTACTTTGTGACAAGCTCCACCCATACTTGCCTTTGGGACTATATTGCTTTTTAATGATGTTTTGCCCTTTACTCCAAATTCTGTTATCATTAATTTCAGGCAACTAGTTTCCCATATGAAGCACAATGACCTGTCGCCCAATGCACTGCTTTGCACTGAAATAGCAAGATATGCAGGAATTTCCTTCTTGATAAACAGCCTAATTCTTTCCATGAGTTCTGAGGGAGTTCTAAATGCTGTATTCGAATACTCTTTTAAAATGATCACCCACTTAGGAAATGCCATTTGTCAAACTAAGTGACTGACAGTCTTTCTGCTATAAGCATATTTCCAGAAGGGAGCTGTGGTATATAAAGTAGCTAACGTTTACTGCCTGGAAAGCTTTATTATTGCTATTGTTATTAATAAATTGATATCTGTTTAATGCCTGGAAAGTGTGCATAGGATTGCAGCACATATTATTATATTGTGATTATGTGCGTTTGGTGGATCTATGGAAAATTCAGCCCATGCCAGGGCTGTATTATTTGTTTCAAGACTTGCAGTTCTACTTGCAGTGTCCAGGGATGGTGAATCCGACAATTTCCAGTTATCCCGTTTCTCATTTTTCCAATCTTACAATCTCCACACCTTCCACATCAAGTTTGTGATATTTTTAGAAGTAATCCCGAAAATTCATTGGCATTTTATGCAAATATGCAATTTTGCCTGATATGCACATTTTTACAAAGCAATCCCTCCTACTATAACACATTCTTGTATGTTATTTTCACAAATACACGGTTTTTATTTTAATGCACACTTTGCCCTGGTATATGCATTTTTGTACACATTAGTGGGCCAGAGAACTGCATTGCAAACTTTGAAGAAGTGCAGATTTCAAAGGATGCCAGTGTTTCAGTTCACTTATTGTTTTGGAAAGTGATAATTACATATAGGCTCACATATAAATGTGAATTGAATTGAATTTCTCCCCATCCCCAGATGTGTCTCTGCTGGAGTTGTCATTTGGCTATGTATTGTTTTCTCAGCTGCAAACACTAGACAGAACAACTCAACCTACAGCAGTTCTGGTTGTTTCTGGCTACCTGGGCCTGGCATCCCCTCTTCCTGTTTCCTATCTCTGCCTCCTTAAATCATCAACTGTGGCCTACCTACACTGGTAGTTCTCGTTTGCTGGCATTAGAACTATGAACCAGGGTTACTACCACCAGTCATCATCATCAGTCATCATTTTAATAAACCACCCTTCACCCTAAGGTCCCAGGGCAGGCTATAATAATTTAAAACACAGTTTTAAATAGTTCGAAACTTGCAATTAAAACAGGTGTGGTACCCTCCTTGTGGAATTTGCTGGCTTGAGAAGTCCAGCAGACTCCCTCCCCTTGTACTCTTTTTTCACTAGGACATTAAAATGTGTTCATACCTGAAGGCTTTTGAAGAACTTGGGCAAAGCTTTCAAGAACTTGGTTGAGTTTGATTTTAAATGGCTATTCTGTTGCCTCTGTTTTAAATAGTGGCTTTATCTTTGAACCTTAAATATTTAACATATGCGTTTTTGTATATTTCACAGAGAAACAACAGAAGCTGGGTTGTATTGAATGGCATCCCAGAAGAAGAAGAAGAAGAAGAAGAAGAAGAAGAAGAAGAAGAAGAAGCAGCAGCAGCGTTTGGATTTGATACCCCACTTTATCACTACCCTAAGGAGTCTCAAAGCGGCCAACCATCTCCTTTCTCTTCTCCCCCCCCCCCAACAAACAGTCTGTGAGGTGAGTGAGGCTGAGAGACTTTGGAGAAGTGTGACTAGGCCAAGGTCACCCAGCAGCTGCATGTGGAGGAGCAGAGACGCGAACCCGGTTCACCAGATTATGAATCCAGTGCTCTTAACCACTACACCACACTGGCTCTCAGCTGATGTTAAAGTCTTTTTGTCAGTGGAACAGTGAGGTGGGCCCTTTCCAGTGATCCTACCAAGCTCCACTGCATCTCCTCAGGAGGTTCCCCCATTTCCCTGAAACAGTTTTAGTGGACACAGGGGTACAGGGAGGAATTTGCAAGTAATTGCTTCCTTTCCCTTTCCACTAACAGAAGACTTTGCATCAGCTGAGCAACACCTTTGGATATGACACTTTATAATAATTAAATATTTTTCAAACAAGCTGCCTCAAAAGACTCTGTCCTTTCTCCCCTGCTGCCCTATTGGTACTAACTCCCAGAACACCCATGTGACACCACTTCTCTTACTTACTTCCAATCCCTCCTGAAAACCCATCTTTTCTGTTAATACTTTGGCACAACCCCCCGGTTTTAATGACATTCTGTAACTCAAGATTCTTCAAGACATGTGCTTTGTGTGTCATGAGTCCCATGGAGGTGTCATAGCAGGGAAGGTCAGATTCTGAGGAGAATGGGAATTGCTCTGGCAGTGGGTACAATGGTTGGTGCTGGCTCTCTTGAGGACATTGTCAGTGTTTTTCTCCGCACTGTGATGTGCTGCCTTCATTTATTGATTCAAATTCAGTGGCAAAGTAACAAACCAAACTACATTTTCATTAAATAACATAGTCTTAGTTACAGGTAGGTAGCCGTGTTGGTCTGCCATAGTCAAAACAAAATTTAAAAAATCCTTCCAGTATCACCTTAGAGACCAACTAAGTTTGTTATTGGTATGAGCTTTCGTGTGCATGTATCTGAAGAAGTGTGCATGCACACGAAAGCTCATACAAATAACAAACTTAGTTGGTCTCTAAGGTGCTACTGGAAGGATTTTTTAAAATTAAATAATATGTTATGCAGTTCAGGGATGCTTAAATTAATGTGCCTGGCATTCAACAGAATGAAGTGACATTCCTGGGTGGAGGAGAAAAAATAGTTCTAGAAGCCATCTGTATTCTACAATTTATTTTCCAGCCCCAGTTGCATCCTGAGTAACTGAATAAGCTTTCATTTATTGGCCAGGTGTTTTTCTCTCCAGAATTCACCCTATGTATGAGATTTTCTTTCATTCATCTGCCCTCTGGCCTAAGAGAATTGATTTCTTTTCACACAGAGAGACTCACTTCTGTCTAGCACGTTCTATGCACTAAAAAAAATACATTCACGGGTCGGATAGCGGTAAGCATTTATTGAATTGCAAATACTTCCACATTTGCTTACACAGCCGTTTCTAAATCTATGTTTACAGCTTAGTTGCTCTATAGTAAAATGAATTGAGGGGGGAAAGGGCATGAGGTTTAGCTCCACCGCTTTCCCACAGAAATAATGTGGATTGGACAAACTAGATTCAGTTGAGTAGGGGCTTGGAGATTCCTCACATCTTCTCATAGACTCTTGTGCAGGTGACACCTTTCATGGTGCATTCCTGAAAAATCAAAAATAACATAGGACATGTGGGTTACGCTTATATAAAGCCTAGTGAAATGACATTACATCAGGAGCGGAGAACCTGTGGTCTTCTAGATATTGCTGAACTACAACTCCCATCAGCCCCAGCAAGCATGCTCAATGACCAGGGAGCATGGGAGTTGGAGTTCAGCAACATCTGGAGGGCCACAAGTTCCCCACCTTGCATTACACTGTCAACCAATGCTTGAAGAAGGGAAGGAAAACAGTCCACCTGGGAAATTCATCTTTATTTTAACGCTATCAAAACATCTTGACTAATTATAACTTGCACTATGTGGTGTGGCTAGTATCCAGTTTTTGCTTGTGCATGCTTCTCTATCCCACAATTGGCTTTGTACCAACCTTTCATCCCTAGCAGTCACTTGTGGGGCTTGCACACACTTCAGATCGAACCACCCCTCCAGTCTTACATGCAGTCATTTAAAAAATGCTGTTGTAAATACATTATATGCAGTCATGAAATACTTTTAATCCATAATGTGTATGGCAGATGGGGAACAATTTGGTTCCTTGCTTGGCTCCTGATCCCTGATCCCTGGCAGGTGGGTATGTGGTGGCAGCTACTTTAAAACCTTAAACCTGATTATGTTTAAGCCAAAGCCACATGCACAACCTTGAAACCCCTAACCTTCATCAAGGTTGGCATTTGCATTAAACTGGGCATACAAGTGGAGAAAAGCAAGATGAAATCCAGCCATTCTTGAACCATTGCTAAATCTAATTCAAGTGTACTTTTCCCTTAGCTACACAGTAGTTTTTAAACTGTGTAAACTATTTTAAACAGGCCCTTGAAGTCTGCCCTTTCTAGAAATTATAACAGTGATTGGAGGCTTGCCATTCAAAACTGGCAAAAATGCCCTTCAAAAATGTTGGGCACAATCCTTCAAATCCCACTATTACAATGAGAAAGCTCAGATTATAGATTTCTCATTGAAATCAATGTGATTGAAAACTGCCTAGAATGGGTCCCGTATTATGTAATTTAAAACAGTAACTTACCACCACCATTTTCCCATCAACTAGTTTCCTCCTTATTGTTGATTCTTTGCCATTCCACTTCTGCGTTTGAACCAATGCACCTTTTTCTAAGGTTACAACAGTCTGGAGACACAAAGGAAAAAAATTAAATTGTGACTACTTTGTTTATTTTTTCTGCAAATATCAAGTTAAAGTTGGGATGCCATTTACGAGGGGAGGGGCAGTCATATACATCCTTGTTATTCAAGTAGCATATGATTATATCTCAAGAGCACTTGTATTTCTTTCTAATAATGATCATAGTAGTAGTAGTAGTAGTAGTAAAAGTAGTAGTTGTAGTTGTAGTTGTAGTTGCTGTTGTTTTATTATATCCTTCTTGTAAATGAGGCTCCTGGTGATCTCTGTCCAAGCAACTGATTGGGCTGACACCTGTTTAGCTTCAGCAAGGCTGAAGCATAAGTTACATAGGTGGAGCCAGGACAGGAACAGGGGAGGTTGAAGGCATCTCCGATTTGAAGGACTGTTGGGTCCAAGTTCACTTTCAAGATAAAGAACCAGAAGAAAGGAAGAAAGGAAAGAAGTTGCTGATCAACAGTTAGTACCTCAATAGCAGACTGAGTGGGTGCACAGCTCACCTGGTGTCACTTGTTGTCTCGAGAGACAACGGAATATGTCTCTGGGCGTGAAGTCAGATCACTGCATTAGCAGCATCAAAGTGACTTCCTTGGGGTGCAAGCCTGGGCAGTGTGTACAGAGATCCTCATCATTTCTATCTATAGCACGTATACAAACTGTCATCTTAACCATTGGATCCACTATTGGTCTCATCCGCTCAATTTCCCGGAGCCTGTCTTCACATACAGGGGGAAGTCCTTAACTCACTGAGGATTTGAGACCCATTGGCCTTGGCCAGTCAAAGCCATTTCCTGAGGTGTGGCTGCTGTCTCATACCAACAGCAACTAGGAGCCACAGGTGAGAGCTGAGTGCAAGGTGGACAAACTACCTCAAAAGGAGAATAATGTGTCCCCCCACTAGAGATACAATGAGTGCATTGAATTCCTATTTAAATGTTAGTAATCAAGTTGTATTAAATACTTAGTCATCCTTAGAGTAGACACACTAAAATGAATGAACATAACTAACTTTGGTCTATGATGACGACAACTATTTTTATTTTAAAAAATGTTCTAGAAAGAAGAAATGCCAAGCTGAGCTTACTCTGAGAGAACTGAGTGTTGGACTTTGTAAGCTAACAGTGTTTTGGGGTGCTGGCTGTCTCCTGCAATATCTGATGTGATAGCGGAATACTTTGGTTGTTGGTTGGAGTGTTTGTGTTTCTCCACTGGTACTTGACCTGTATATTTGTAAATTGGCAGAACATATTACAAAAAAAAGAAGCCTCCAGTGATATCTGACAGAGAAGGAAACCTGGGTAAGTGCTGTTCTCCTGGAAGGAACTTCTCACCCCTTGGGGACTTGGAACAAGTGTAATGTTAACAAGTCCTGCGCTATCTGTATCCCACATATCAAGTTGCCTTGGTTTCTGTCAAAAGAACTGAAGACCTCACAGTGCTGTTAAAAGGAAGAAAGTTGAGGGGGAAGCTATCTCTCACCTTTGTTTTCCTGTCATCTGCAGTGGTTTCTTGAAATTCCTGCCCCAACTTGAAAGTGATCTGCGTATTTTTGAAGGTGCTTTCAGTTCTGATTGTTACCTCATCACCCTTCATGCTGATGATGACTTTGGGTTTGGCCAAGCTGCCAAGTTTTCTGGTGGCCAACCCCACCCCTACAAACCAGATAAAGAACATTATACTCCATTGGGCATTGCATACATTACACATTCCCTGGCCTCAAAAATACATCTGAAAACTATAAGTGTAAAAAAGGAATGTAAGCTGGAGAGAATTACAGTATTAGTGGAGAGTGCTATAATTATTGATTGCCCATGTTCTCCCCAAACTATATTTGAATGGGAAGATTAACAAATTATCTTAAAGACAAAGGGGAACATCTGTCAACCACACTGGTGTGTTTAAATGCAAAAGTCAATATGCCACAAAATGCAATACTGGATTGAATAGAAGACCAGTGAAGACAGGACTGCCTTATATCACATATCCGCTATACACAGAAGCAAGTCAGACATGAATATACAAGACTTGGTTTCTCTTTTGAGTACTCAGTATCTGAAGACTCACATCTGCATATGTGGACTAGCTCCACTGATAAATAATGCATTTGAGGTGATATCAAGTGATCTCTGTGTAGTGCTTTTTGGGGGGTCTGTAATAGTTCATTCACAGATACAAATTATTCCTTAATGCTGCAATCTTGCATTCACTTACCAGGGAATATGTCTTACTGAACTCGTTGAACTTCTAAGTAGATGTGTTTAAGATTTCACTGTTAGTGCTGCAGGCATTTCTTGATGAATACATACATATGTATTCATCAGCCCTCCCCTAAAAATCTCCATTTAAGAAATGAAATATTTGTTGTGTACTTTAACTGTTTGAAATGTATACTGCCTAACAAATGTACTGATCCTACAACATATCCAGTCAGCATTCTTGAAACTATATCAGCATTTTAGGGCAATTCTTTCTTTATACACAATTATGCCTGCTATACACATTTTTGCAAATGATGCATTTTGTATGCTTTTTTCACTAATATGTTTATGGACACATTGACCACGTATACACATCTTTGTATGCAGAACACGGCTAGGTACTTGCATTACAAAATTCAGATAAATGTGAATTCTGGATAGCTGTGTTTTTGTTTTCGTATTGTTTCGGAAAGTGCAAATTAGGTAGGTTCACCTTTGAATGCAAACCAAACAGAATTTCTTCCCCATCTGTAATTAAAAGAAACATACCCTAAAAGAATATGGGACACTATATGATACCCAATATTTCTGCGGAAGGAAAACATAATTCATGATACAAAACTGGCTCTGAAAAACACCAGGCCATCACTAACAGATGCAATTTCACAATATGCAAGTCGACAATGAAAGGAAAGGACAGAATCTGAGCATGGTTAGTAAGACAGAAGAAATGAAAAATTTCTCTTGTTCAGCTTCCTTTTCAAGATGCTTAAGAAAAAAGTTTAATTATTTGAGTGAAAAGCAATAAGTACCAAAAGAAGACATCACTGAAATGTACAGCGATGGCAGCAGTATACCAATATCCAAATCAAATCTCACCCAGTTCTTTCATGTAGTCATCAAAGTTTTCACTAGAGACAAGTTTCCAGCTTCCCACAAATTTGTTGCACATTATGCAGGGCTTGCTAGACAGCGTTTCCTCAGGAGAATGGAATTGACAGGAACAGTTCTCAGTAGGAGGCAGAAGGATTGTGTGAGCCACACGCATCTCAATGGCATCTTTTTAAGAGAGTCCCAGGATGTATAGCGTTCAGGGCCACCCAATTCAAAGCGACAACGTCAGAGGCCAAACAATGGGCATTTTGTTCCAAGCAATTCATGCTGGTCCCAAGACTAGCAACATTGCGCCTGCCACCAACTCCTCCACTATTGTCATAAAGCAGAATAGTTAGGACTAGAACGTGATCTTGCTGTTATTATGCTGGAAGGAAGATCAGGCACAAAGCCACTGTGGAGAACAATATTTGGTTTTCAGGAGGGTGTTATGGGTATGACTAGCAGTTTGTGTGTTTTCAAGAGCAGAGCAGAGGCCTTTTGTTCAAGATGTAGAGAGTTTTGTGCTGGCCACAAGAAATAATTGGGAGTATGAAATGTTCTTTACACAGGGGAGTCGGGCCTACTATCCTTGAAAACTACTTCTGAAAAACTCATTTCAAACAACATGGTTTTAGACAACTCCCATCCACATGCTAACACTCCCCTTTTAGCAAGGTGATTGGAAGGGTAATAGTAGTCCAGCTGTAACAGGACTTGGAGGATCCTGATTGCATCTATTACTATTGAGTTTCAACCTGCCTTGAAGACTGACTCAGCCTTGTTCACCCTGTTGGATGACCTTTATCAAGAGATAAAGGATGTGTGAGTGACCCTATTACTCTTTCATTAACCTGGTATCATCCTGGACCATCTCATTGGGATGGGAATTGGGGGCACAGTTCTTCTATTCGTACTTGCATGATACCTGACCAGAGAGTAGCATTGCAGGGAATGACAATGTCTATCAGCCCCCTGGAAAATATGCTATGGGATCTGATAGTTCCAATCTTGTTCCTGATGTTGTTTAGCATCAAGGTGTTGGGTGAGATTTAGAGCAAGGTGTCTTCAGTGTACTTATTGTTAACACCCAACTATATTTCTCCATACAATTACACACACACACACACACACACACACAAATGTGGTAGGAGACTAGGAATGCTATTCTCTTAAGATACATCTGTTCACAAGTATCAAAAATGGAGAGGAGTTTGAAAAAGGATAGTAAATTAACTTTCTTTCATAGCCATTATTATTATTACTGCTTCATCCACGTATGTGGTTCTTTACTGTAGACCAGGTGCAGGGAACCTTTGGCCCTCCAGATGTTGCTGAATGACAACATCCATCACCCCCAGCAAACATGGCCAGTGGCCAGGGATGATGAGAATTGTAATTCCCTACACCTGTCCTAGAAGCATCTAGATAGAGATACCAGGAGATACAGGATGTGATGGAAGAAGAAAATTTTAAGGTAGAGAAGCAGGGCAGGATGTCATCAAATATACGTGCTATTGAAAACCAGGAGCTTTGATCAGATAATCCAGAAAGAGTGTGGAACTCACAACCCGGTGAGTCTGTTGATGGTGGTAGCCAATTTGTGGAGTGATGTAGCAGCCACCATGGTTGAGGAAGAAGGGCAATTTTCGTGTGAGATCTCAGTGTAGACCTGTGAAATCTCAGGGTAGGGTAGTACAGTGGTACCTCGGGTTACATACACTTCAGGTTACATACACTTCAGGTTACAGACTCCGCTAAGCCAGAAATAGTGCTTCAGGTTAAGAACCTTGCTTCAAGATAAGAACAGAAATCGTGCTCCGGCGGTGCAGCAGCAGCAGTAGGCCCCATTAGCTAAAGTGGTGCTTCAGGATAAGAACAGTTTCAGGTTAAGAACGGACCTCCGGAACGAATTAAGTACTTAACCCGAGATACCACTGTACCTATTTTTAAAACACAGGTTGCCATCTTGCCCAACCTCCTTCCTCCTTAAGTGAAAGAGGGGAAACTTTTCCCAGCCTTTCCATTCCTAGTTTAGAGACTCTGAGGAGTGCAGTAGCTACTGGTTAACAGGGTCAGAAAGGCATTTTACTCCCAACCACAGCTGGTATTAGGTTCAGGGGTTTTCACCTTTCACACAGCGGGTAGCAACTGTTAGGCATCTCATCTCCATTGGGATGGGTAGAAGTTTAAAGGTGGGGGAACCCTGAAGGGGTCATGAAAGGTGAACAGCCCCTGCCCCTAGCTTGGGTGGGTCAGGCTGTCCAGTAGCTATCTCAAGATACCAGTGGTCCAAGTTGCATAGTTATCTGCCATGCTGGGTCACAGATGCCAATTAATGACCAGTGGATGCCATGATAGGCATGTGGTATGATGGCAGCACATCAGGTTGGTAGCCTACAGATCCTAACCCAATGCCAGCCCCACCCATGTCAGTCAGTCAATCAAGTTGTGGCCAAGTTTTCATCCATACATATCTCTTGGTCTTTATTGTTTTGCACCCACACTTGGCCATGACAGGGGCTGCCCCACAAAAACTGCAGTGTAGGTGAACACCTTTGTTTCAAGCAGCTCCAATAATCTTTGTATTGAATCACAAAGACAATCAAGGTGTGGAGAATATTCCTGACTACAAAGGTGAAAGTAATGGTTGTTTAATAGTAACGAAAGTGTCTACAGCCTCATTGTGACCCCAAGTTACTCCAATTATTGTCCTTGTGGTGCAGAGTGATAGCTTGAGAAAAAGAGTGACAAACAGGCAAAACTTAATGCAATTTCTTTGTAGAGCATAAGTAGCAGAACTCAAATGAAAGCAAGATCTGGCGCACCACAGAGTCATCTGTTGCGATGAGTAATGTAGGGGAAAGGACAAGCAGATTATTATTATCACATAGCCTGAGTTTATGAAAGCAATAAGCCTGTCAAGATAATCTGGAGCCTCTTGACCTCACATGTAGGTCAAGTGATTCAGCAGGGCAAATCTTTCGAAATATGCTGATAGACATGGTCTTGCTACTTGCATGTGAAAAGTTGGTTGCATCTCTGGCTCACCATCATTCAGGAATACTAAAAGCAAGACACAAAGTTTTATGGGGCAGATTTTGACCCTAAGCTGACGTCCAATGTATCTTGAGACATGAGAATGTCCCAAATGAAAGCATCAGGAGAAGAACACTTTAATCTGCTTCACTTGGTTTTAAAATGGAAACTAACAAACCAACACAGATAGTCTTAGGTGGTGTTTTTCTGTCCCCAACTGAATTCAAGCTGCCTCAGCTCCAGAATAAGTCACATGTAATGTGTCAGGAAAAGGGCCTTATCTGCTTCTCTTTCTTGAAAAATGGCATGGGGTAGATGAAATCTGATGAAATTGAACAATCTGAAAATATTAATTCATATCTGAGGTTGAACAATTTAATTTGGGGCGGTGCAGGGGAGGGGAATCAATTATCCAAGACCAGCGTCCAAATCCTCACATGG